AATATGGATTTCGATTGAACTTGAATTTTCAAGACCGAGTTTCAGAATTTCTCGCACCTGCATAGTGCATTGCAGCCTATGCATTAGAAACGAATTACATACCTTTTGCTGTCAAAGACTTTTAAAAAAATATTTAACACAACCTAACATTTACTATTTTCATTTTTAAGTCAATAGAAAATTTTTAAAATATCAGTACAAAATTCTTTCCAATGTAAAATGATTTTATAATTCAGTAAGATTTAAAAAGAAGTATCTAGGAAAAGAAACAAGACTTAAACACTAAAGAATTGTGTAATTCTTATAGTATATGGAGTTTTTCTGAGCCGAAAACAGGCATCGCTTCTCGGCCTTTTGGCTAAGATTTGATCACAATTACAGTGTGTTTGTAAGTTTAACTTACAGATTAACTATGAATTTGGAAGACATGACGGAATCGCTGATGATGGCCCACACCATTAGGCTGACGTGGAGAGGCAAGAAACGATTATCACGGAGAGATGTTACAGAATTCTCCGAGGACGTCTTAGATGCTCCCAACCTTGTGGCTGTATGGCAGATGACGAGATCAGATGCCTGCAGGCTGCCAGCTGGTACCTCACGTATGAAGACTCCAACGTAGTTGACGATCTGGACGGGAAGGAACTGAGGTACGAACAAGTAACTGTATATTTACAGGCGTGTGACCGTATCAGAGTTCACATGCGGATACACTGGTTGCCGTTATGGATTACAAACGAGGACGTACAGAAGTGTGTCGATAAGTATACTGACATCGTTAATCTAGACTGGGAGAGGGAGGACGACATCATCACCGGCGTGAGGACAGTGACCTTCACAATGAGAGAAGGAGATCAAGGTCATATCCCATACCTTACCCAGATATATGGCCATAAGTGCTTATTTGTCATTCCTGGCTGGCCCCCAGGGTGCTTCAAGTGCGAGGGGGTCGCTCACCTCAGAGGGGAGTGTCCCCAGTCAGGTTACGGTATGACTGGGCCCCGAAGTTTTGCTTCGGTGGTCCAGTCGAGGGCTGTCAGTATGCCCGGGCAGCAGGCTGTTGGTAGGCCTGCTGCTAATAAGGACAAAGAAGGAAGTCAGAATCCCCAGGGGGAAAAAATCCTCCTGAGACTGTTAGCAAGTCTCAGGAGGTAGGGGCTGTTGGGAAGTCCCCGGACATTGAGACTGTTAGCAAGTCTCGGGAGGAGGAGTCCTCGGACTCCCCTAGACAGACGGAGGACATGACGGTCCCTCAGTGGCTGCTGACCCCTCACAGACAGGCCAGGAGGACCGGGATGGTTCTCCTGCAGAGGAGGAGTCTGTGGGCGACTCCTTCATGGCAGAAATCCTTAGTGGTACCCAGCTGGGTACCCCAGGGGGTGACACTGAGGTGTCCCCCAGACACACACGCAGACCTGGGCCGAGCAGATGGATGCGGAAACGGACGACGACGAAGGGTTCCAACCAGTGCAGAGAAAACGGAAAGTGTCCGAGCTCACTAAGGACGATCCGGTGAGTCCCTCGTCGGCCGTGCCCAGCAGGGCGAACCATAAGTAACTTTATTAGTGATAATGAACGAACTCTATATGGACAATGGCGGCGGTACATTCCCTCGAGAACGACTCGGCCTGTCCCTGGACTATCCAATACAATGTAAGGAACTTTTCCTGGTTTTATTTAATTACTTATATTATAATTTGTCTCTTAGTTATGTTTATTTTGTCTGTTCATTTTTATTTTGTTTTGTTTTGTCTTAGTTTCTGTTTTCATTTTCTGTTTTCATTTTCTCTGTACGTTCTGTTATTTTTGTTTAGTTCACTCATGTTTTTCTCTCTCACGAGATTTTTGTTTGAGTTAGACTAGACTTAAACACTAAAGAATTGTGTATTTTTCATTGTATAGAGAGTTTTTCGGAGCCTAAAATCGGCATCGCTTCTCGGCCTTTTGGCTAAGATCAAAGTGATCAAATTAATAAGTTTTTCTAAGTTATATTACAGAAATGATTGGTTTCGAAGAAATGTCAGAAAGTTTGATAATGGCGCATACCATCAAGATGACGTATAGAGGAACGACTCGCCTGACCAGAAGGGACGTAATTCGATTCTTCACAGAGAACTTAGAAGTTGACGATATACAGGCGGTGTGGCAGATGCAGAGAGCGGACGCATGGTACGTCACTCTAGAGTCTGAGGAGTCCGTGAATGAGCTGGACAGTAAACAGTTAAAACTGGACGACATCACAGTTATTTTGCAGGCGTGCGACAGGTTGATGGTGAATGTGAGAGTCCATTGGCTTCCTCTCTGGATCTCCAACGACGATGTAAGGAAGAGTCTCGAGAAGAAAGGGGACGTGGTAAAGTTTGACTGGGTACGGGAAGACGGTGTCATCACGGGGGTGAGATCGGTGATGATCCGGATATCAGTAAGCCCCAGGAGACAGTTAGTAAGTCTCAGGAGTAGGAGTCCTCGGACTCCCCTAGAGTCACGGAGGACCATGACAGTCCCGGGGGGGGGGGGGGGGGTTAGTGGCTGCTGACCCCTCCCAGACAGGCCAGGAGGACCGGGTGGTTCTCCTGCGGAGGGGGAGTCCGTGGGCGATTTCCTTGTAGATGAGTTATTAAGTGGCACCCAGCTTGGTACTCAGCTGAGTGCCACAGGGAGGAACACTGAGGTGCCCCCCCCCCCCAGACGTGGGCTGAGCAGATGGATGCAGAGACAGACGAGGACGAGGAATTCTATTTCTTACTTCCATACTTTAAGGCTTCAGCAGAACTATGTAGAAACTAGAAATATGTCCATAGGACACAAATGCCCCACCGAGAGTATATTAGTAATGCAACATGAAAATTTGTGTATTAGTGTATGAAATTTAATGAAAATATCTTGACAGTTTCTTTCAATTGATATCTTAAAAATTGGAAATAGATGATATATTCTGACTTAATAATGGAGAAGTGCATGCTTGAATAAAACTATGTTTAGTTGTTTCTTTCAAACTAAGCAATACAAATTAAAGAGAAGGGAGGTCAAGTTCACAAAAAAAGCATGGTCAAAAGTTTTGATGTAGTTGAATAGCTCCCACTAGTATGTATCAGCATTTTTTTTATTTTATTGAAATTGGCAGTTTAAAATATAGTTTTTATCATGTTTTAATACCTACAGATTATGCCCCGAATGCTACTTGTCAAGCATCAGAAAAGGTTTTTATTTCTCAAATTTGATATGTCTGTAGGCATTTTTCATTTACTAGGTCTTCACCTTAAGATGTTTCATCAATCTAATTAAAATTAGATTTTCTGAATCTGCTACTGCTTCTCAAACACATAAAACATCTTAATTGTGGTCACTTCAGAGCGACCTTTCGATTATGAATAAACACAAAAATGTTGGCCAATCACATTCAAGTTTATCATTGATACTGTGTTAGGCTGCATTAAAAAAAATTTGGTGTAAATTTAATGTATAGCCCCCCAGTCTGGCATCTTTATTTGAATTCAATAATGTAAACAAAAAAGCTCAAACTATACAAAATATCCCGCACATCACATTCATACATAGCACAGCTTTAGCAATGCATATTTTGTTTACTACGAAACTCCTAGGGCATTAAGGTTCCCCAGTAAAGAGGACGCCCTTCCAAACTATAACCAAATTTTGGAGGCAATGAGTTCATCGGCTAATCAAAAGGTCGCTCTGACATGACCCGATAACTCTTTATTCATCAATGTTTTGTTATAAATAACTGAAGCAAAAATGTTAATCATAACAATCTGCATCAACGCATTGTAAAATTTTGATAATATGTTACTTAGTAAGGGGCCATTAGGGGGCCAAAATGCCCAATTTTGGATTCTTTATATCTCCAAAATGAGAAATTTTGATAAGCGGTATCGAATGAAGGATACTCAGAGTCGTCTTTTTGAAATTTTACCATCATTATATATATGCAAAAACATCCCATTAAGGATTTAAAGGGCTGGTCCATTCTCCAAGGAGAATAAAGAATGAAATAAAAGAAAGAAAGATAAAGAAAACAAAGAAAAAGAACACGCACAAAAAGAGAAAGGGAAAAAATTACAAGAATTTTTTTTTTTTTTTAAATTAGAAAAAAAACACAACCCAAACCAAAATAGAGTCTAAGACACTTGGTATTCCCAGGCGGTCACCCATCCAAGTACTAACCAAGCTCGACGTTGCTTAACTGCGGTGATCGGACGAGAAACGGTGCTTTCAACGTGGTCATTGCAGCCCGGAGGACTGGGCTGCTCTATACATATAAGTTTAAGTGTTGGTGTATGGGGATTTGGGTGGGAGTAGTTATGTACGCATTGTAAAATTCAAACAAAGAAAAAGAACACGCACAAAAAGAGAAAGGGAAAAAATTGATAATAGAAAAAAAAACACAACCCAAACCAAAATAGTATAGGTTTTCTAAACATTGAAAAGATTGATAATCAAAATGTTCTTTCCGTTTATAAATTACGAGATATATAATATATTTACTTCATAAAGTGAATCTGTAAAAATATGTACGTTTTTCATATTTAATATATAAAGTTACTTATCATTTACTATCGAAATAATGACAGGTCCCTTTTTTTAGAACATTGAATTTTACTTCTCGGATAAAAACGTACTTTGCACAGTTCGTGTTTTATATTTTAAAATTGAAAATTAATACATTTTTAAATATATATGATGCGTGAGTCTAACTTCAATTTATATTATTTGTATCAAGTTTGAAATGGTATCGTTTTTGATTGATTTTTATCCGACTACAAGTTTTTAAAAAGTATTTGCGACTATCGTCTCCATCATTGAGACGCATGCCTTTTTACACATATCGAAGCGTTTGTTGATCAAGACTCATTTTCATTGTTTACTTTATATATTTCTCGGGCAACAATTGATGATTACATCAATGTTTTCTTGTTGTGAATTGTGAAAAGAATTGTGTATTTTTTATTGTACAGGGATTTTTTTCGGAGCCGGAAATTGGCACCGCTTCTCGGCCTTTTGGCTAAGATCAAAGTGTAGTATCTGTTCTTTCCATTAGGTTTAAGCTTCATTATGGAGGATACTCAGTTCAATCCTATGGAAAGAACTGTCAAGGTTTTTTGCAGGGTCCTCGTTCATCGGTGAATTCGTAGGGTAGACGGGAGTTACTCCGCTTTTTACGCAAGATTGACGAGCAAATCACGATCCTGGCTGTCTGGCAGATGGATGTATGGTGTAGTCATTAGGTTGTGGAAAACTTTCATGATGGATGACCCCCAGCTAAATTTAATGGAGAGGACTATCAAGGTATTTTTGCAGGGTCCCAGACCAGCAGTTAGTTCATTCGGCAGACGAGAGTTACTTCGCTTGTTGCTTAAGTTCGACGATAAGATCAACATCCTGGCTGTTTGGCAAATGGAGAAGGCCAACACTTGGTTTGTGACCCATGAGGACCCTCGTATCGTGGACCAGCTCAATGGTGAAATAGCCAAGGTAAGTGATTTGACATTGCATTTTAATGCATGCGATAGGATCAGTGTGACTGTCCGCATACACTGGCTGCCGATATGGGAATTAAATTACGATGTAGGGAAAGTCTGTGGGAAAGGGAAAGGATTACGGTGAACTGTCTGAAGTCACTGAAACATGTTTTAGATAACAATGTGGCAACGGGGGTGAGGGAGGCCGTCCTCTCCATGAGGGAGGGCGATCAAGCTTTAATACCTTACCTGACCAAGATCCACGGTCAAAGATAGTATCTGTTCTTATCAGATTAATATCTAGCGTCTTTGATTATGATAGAAGGTACCCCCTTCGAGGGGAGTAGCTCTACTTCTATAATGGAGCATACGGCGAAGTTTACAATGAAGGGTCCTAGATCGAAAGTTGCCTGGAAAGATTTTATCAAGTTCTTTAGAGACATGGGTCTAGATACAATCGTCGCAGCCTGGCAGATGGAGAGACCAGATGTGTGGTATGTGACTTTTGAAGGCGGAATGCGTGAATTGAATTGACGGTAAGACGTTCGCGTTCAAGGATGGTTTCTATTTGCACACCGATACCTGCGACAGAGTACGAGTTGTCCTTCGTGTCCATTGGTTACCATTTTGGGGGTCCAATTCCGACCTAGCCAAGGCCCTGGAGGTGTACGGTGAAATCATACGGATACGTCATCAGACAGAAGATGGTGTTATTACAGGAGTGCGGGAGGCAGTAATTCAGATGCGAGAAGGTGAACAGAGAGCCATCCCTTATGAAAGCAAAGTTCATGGTCACAAATGTTTATTTGTGATTCCAGGACGCTCCCCGGTCTGCTTCAAATGCCATGAAGTGGGGCATGTCTGGGGTGAGTGTTCCTGGGGGACAGGTTCTGGGCAGCGGAGCTATGCTTCTGTCATAGTGACCATGATATTGTATTATTAGAAATTAATGTTTCTAATTCCGATAATATAACTTTTAGGGAGTGATACTGGAAATTTAATAACTCTTTACTACAAGATAAAAAACTTTTATCAAACAATTTACTTAATATTAGACTGAATTAATAGAGGGGTTTTATATGCATTTAGAACCATGGGAACATTTAAAAGAACAAATTAAAAATTTTACTATTCATTATTGTAAGAAAAAAGCAAATGTTAAGCGTAATGTATTACAGCAATTAAAAAAGGCTTATTATCAGATGCAATATTTTGAAAATAAAAATCCTGGTCAGTTTATGGATAGATTTAAGGAAATTTAAAGTCAAATTAAAGAGTTTCAGCTGCAAAATTACACTGGCTCGAAAATTCGGTGAAAGGCTGAAAGTTTTGATGACGATGAAAAACGTCTAAATTCTTTTTTCAACAAGAAATTAAAATAGCCAAACAGAAAACTATTACAAAAATACTCAGTCTTCCAAAACTTCAAATACTAATTCCGGCGATATTTTGGGTATTTTTCGAAGCTTTTCTTACAGAATGATACATATTGAAGAATTGTCCGCAAGTCTGATCATGGCTCACACCATAAAGATGACCAGCAGAGGGACTTCCCGTATGATACGGTGAGACGTTATCAGGCTATTCACGGAGTTCCTTGAGATAGACGGGATATCGGCAGTCTGGCAAATGGAGCGTGGGGACACTTGGTACGTGACCTTCGAGTCTCAGGACACAGTTACATCGTTAGATGGGAGACAGATTAATGTAGACAAAGCTACTATCATTCTACAGGCCTGTGACAGGGTCTCCGTACTAGTGAGGATTCACTGGCTTCCTCTCTGGGTGTCTCAGGAGAAAGCCAGGCGCTCCATAGACAAGTACGGGGAGGAAGAAAAGTTAGAGTGGGCCACAAAGAATAGCGTGATGACAGGGGTCAGAACAGCAGTTATCAGGATGAAAGAGGGGGAACAACTCTACATACCATATATTACCTCCTTGTATAGTTATAAATGTCTCTTTCTCGTCCCAGGTCGGCCCCCTGTTTGCTTTAGGTGTGAGGGGGTTGGCCATTTGAAGGGCGAGTGCTCCCATTTTGACGGATTTAGTAAGACTAAACCCCTAATCTATGCTTCGGCGGTTCAGTCTACGACTGTCGGTAGATCTGAGCAGGCTGTTAGTAGGCCTGCCGCTACTAGAAGGGAACAGGGTGTCCCCGACCATGAAACATCACTTGGGGCTGTAAGTAAGCCCACTGAGACTTTTGGCAAGTCTAAGGAGGAGTCCTCACACCCCCTTAGACACACGGAGGACCATGAGGGTCCCCGGGGGGGGGGGGTCAGTGGCTGCTGACCCCTTCTCAGTCAAGACAGCAGGACCGGGGTGGTTCTCCTTCGGAGGGGGAGTCCGGGGGAGACTCCCTTGTTGATCTGAAGTTGTACCCAGCTTGGCACTAAGCTGAGTGCCACAGGGGGGACACTGAGGTGTCCCCCCAGACGTGGGCGGAGCAAATTGACGCTGAGACCGAAGGATTTCAGACATTTAAGGGGAGAAGAGAAAAGTCAGCGATTTACCAAAGATGATCCAGTAAACCCGTTGTCGGCCGAACCAAGCAGATGCAATAGAATGTAAGTTGACTTTTTATTTATTACTGAACTGTTAATGGACTATGAAGGTGGAAAAGTCACTCAATGACGACATGGCCTGTCCCTGGACTATTCTTTATTATTTAAGATTTTCTCCTGGTATTTATTTGTTTTCATTATAATTTGTGTTTTAATTAAGTTTATTTTGTCTGTTCATTTATATTTTGTTTTGTTTTGTCTAAGTTACTGTTTTCATTTTCTCTGTACGTTCTTTTATTCATAATTCACTTTAATGCTTGAGACAGGATTATAGTTAATGTGAGAGTGCATTGGCTCCCTATATGGGAGTCCGATGAGGATGTCGCCTCTGTACTGGCGTCCTACGGGGAAGTAAAGTCGACACGACATGTGATCGACAACGGGGTGAGGTATGTCGTCCTCTCCATTCGAGGGATGGCAACCAAGACCAAATACCCTTCATTAGTTAACTGAAGTTACACGGGCATAGGGTTTTATATTTCGTGGCGGGCAGACCCCCGGTCTGCTTTAAATGTGAACAGGTCGGCCACGTGAGGCAGGAGTGCCAGTTCATGGCATGTGGCCACAGACCTTACGGGCCCCGTACGTATGCTACGGCGGTCCGTAAGCTGGCTGTCGGTAAGCCAGGATCAGAGGCTGTAAATAAGCCTCGGGAGGAGCCCCAGGGAGAGGAGACTTATGTCAAACCTCCCCAAGACAACCAGGAGGATCACGGTGGTCCTGGGCAGGAGGAGTCCGCGGTTGACTCCCCCTCAGTTGAGAAGTTACCCGAGGGGGGCACTGGTTAAAATCAGCATCGCTTCTAGGCCTTTTGGCTAAGGACGATCAAATTTACAGTTTTTGTAAGAAAATATTGGTAGGAAATGATGAACATGGAAGATATGACTAAATGGCTTATGATAGCTCATACCATCAGACTTACGTAGAGGGGAAAGAAGAAACTATCAAGGAGAGATTTAACAGAGTTTACCAAAGTGATCCTGGACGCCCCTGATATAGTAGCGGTGTGGCAAATAAGTAGATCGGACAAGTGATACTTGACATTTGAGAACTCTAACACAGTAGATGTCTTTGATCGTAAAGAGCTAAGGTATGAGAAGGATATGGAAATAACGAACAGTATTCAATCTCAACGTCCATTAAACAAATATACAAAATAAGAGCAGAGCAAACACGGACCTCCAAAACATCAGAGGTGAGATCAGGTGCCATGGAGGAGTGAGCATCCCCTGCCGACCGGTCACACCCGCCGTGTGCTCGTTGTCACAATCAGGAAACAACGGAAAAAATCCGTGGTCAATTCAGTGTACAAACAATGGACCAACAATTGGTATGAAAAACGTCAGTCAGCATTTTATTCAATGATAAATTGTATTTGCTGACAAGGTCATTGTATCGACCATAGAATTTACGAAATGATGACTTTAAACGAGACTGTTGATATTCTTGTTTCATCAACTTGCTTGTCAATAATTTACCTCGTTGAAGAAATTGTTCATACGTAGAGCATGTTCTTGCGTATCGAATCAACTGAGATATAAATACTCCGTATGCAGGTGATGAAGGTATATTGCTGCATAAGTAAGGGAAGTTGACGATAGAAAAGTTAAAGTCATCACGTTTATCATATAGCTTGGTTGTTAGATTACCATTAGTGTCTTTTTCAAGTAAAATATCCAAGTATGAAGCAGAAGTGTCGGACTCTGTGGTATCTTTTATCTCAAGCTCACCAGGATAAATCGTGTCGACGTAGGAATGGAAATTATCATTATTAATTGACAATACGTCGTCGATATATCTAAATGTCGAGATGAAGGCCACAGCAAGTGTTTTCTTCTTTTCACGCAAAAGATTTTGCATAAATTCTGCTTCATATGAATATAAAAATAAGTCTGCTAATAACGGAGCGCAATTTGTACCCATGGGAATTCCAATAGATTGTTGGAATACCTGGTCTACAAAAACCACATAGATATTGTCAATCAGAAACTCAAGCATTTTCTTGATGTCAACTTCAGACTACTTATGTGTGCAATCAGAATCTGTTTTAACAAAATAATTCTTCAAATGACCAATGACGAGGTAAGTAAAATTACGAGTTCCATTTTTGTTGAAGAAGCAGCTGTCAATGATATCAAAAAGCCTG